TGAATTGGGGGATTTTGGAAAAAAAAAGTTGAGATATTATGAAATTTATGCTTGATAAGTTGTTATGTAAATAAATGATAGAGGAAATTTCTATAGCTGTATCAAATGGGAAAATTTCATAAGAAAATAAGAATTTTTGATTTGGAAAACTTGAGGAATAGCTTATTGTTGTTTGTCTTGGAAAGACCAAATTTTAAAACAATGATGATTAACATGTGAAACATTCATGAATGATGATGTTGATATATTATCTCTTGTAAAATGTATTATGATATTACATTGATAAGAGATATGGAAATTTGATCATAATGGAGGATTGTGTGGTGGAATTGAAAATGAAACTATATTATTGCATTGTACATTTTGCATTGCCATTCCATTGAATCATTGTTGCAATTGATTTTGAATCTTGCATTGGAAAATTATTGCTTGAGAAATGAATTGTTTTGTAAAACAAGATTATTTGGATTTGTTTCGGGGTAAATACGTTGGTAAGTCTGGATAGGGGGTGTAGTTGGTATTGGTTAAGTTGGCATGAGTGTCCATGGTGAAAGACCGAAAACACGCGCAGAGGAGGTACCACGTGCCTTCCAGTTAGCAACTGGTAAAGTGGTGATTGGTAGTGCATGATATGCCTACTTGCAGACACCAACCTAGAGATTACCTAAGTCGTATTTACCACCCCTTGAACTACATTAAAGTTATTGAATTGTTGTGTTTTCAAATTGCATTTAGCACAAGATTTTCAAAATATAGAGATATATGTTTTGAGAATGACATGACATATGCATTCATCTCAAGAGACTATATAAAATGTATATACTTTGTTAAGATATTCCTACTAGGCTTTCCGCTCACCCTATGAGATTTTCTGTAGGAAAGGATGTGGTGATCCCACCGAGTTAAAGGCGTGGAATGTATTTTGAGAGCACAAGGCTCTTTTCTTTTGTTGTAATTATTTTTGACAAACTAAAGGCTTTACATGTATGGGTTTGAAAATCATTTTTGTGTAACCAGACTTAAGCCTTGAAATTTGTAACCCTTGAGGACATTGAACTATACTTGACTTATTGTATCACATTCTATAGATTTATATTCTAGGAATGTTGAGTGTATAATCGCATGTGAAGTATTTTTGTAAATTTCTATAGTTTAATAAATACAAATATTAGAGATTGGTGATGATGTTAATGATAAGGCAGTATACTCCGTATACTTTAAGCAATGGAAGCTATTAATTTGGAAAACAAGATTATGTTGTTGGAAGATAATGAGTCTATTGGTGTTAACTTCTTTGGGGTGTTAAAGTCGGGCTATTGTATCTTGGGGGAGACAGGCTAATATGGGAATTTTGATGCATCGAGGAGTGACAGTTTTACCAACAGAGAAGGGTTTGAATCTCCTTAAAGAAAGCGAGATTACTGTACCTCTGTCTGATTTATTGTATATTCTTATATTTGGAGATGTGATGTGTAATACATATTTAATATAGTGGACGAGGGATAATATTCGTGGATGTAGGCAGATTTGCTGAACCACATGAATTTGGTGTCTGCCTACATCCACGAATATTACCCCTCGTCCACTATATTAAATATGTATTACACATCACATCTCTGAATATATGAATATAAAATAAATCGGACTGAGGTGCGGTAATCTTGCTCTCTGTAAAGAGATTCAAGTCTTTCTCGGTTGGTAAAACTACCATTCCCTGATGCAGCAGAATTCTCAAATTAATCTATCTTTCTTAGGATACAACAACCCGACTTTCAGTCGTGTTGACTCCACTTACCCTGCACAAGTATCCAAAGCTCCACCAGAAAAACACCTTTACACGCTGCCTAATTATTTATATATAAACACAATATAAAATATACATACACACTCATATTCTTCATGTACACTTGTATATATACACTTGTAATCCATAAAATTTGGACACACAATACTAAAGCTTTTTTTTTTTTGGTCAATAAATATAACATAATTTTTTTTTTTTTTTTTTTTTTTTTTTTGAGCCACACAATACTAATGCTTGAAAGTACATTTATAGATACAAAAGAGCCATATGAAGAGATTATACAATCAACGAACCATTAAACACCATAACACCCAATAGTAATTGTTATATTCCTTTTAACTCTATTGGTAACAGAAATTTCTCATCACCCACATTCCTCCACCAACAATGCGGCTCTACCATTAACATGCATGTAAATTACCACCATAATGCATGCATGTAACTCACTCTTTAAAGGCCTATCATCAAATACATGAAATACACATATTAATATGATCATAAATTAATTGTAACTCATAACCTTTTACATGATACATTCAAACCCTTTCAGTTCATCATATTGCATTGTTATATAATCTTGGACTACACTTTATGACATGATGTATGTAAACACATGAATGCACATACATAATTTTAATATTAAAATAACATGAGTTGATGTATACACCAACACATATTATTAATTATATATTTATTTTGTATTATTAGTTGTAAGATTAAAAAGTTCACTAATTTTGTTCAACAAATGTCCATCGAAATCTAATCGCAATAACAAAAATTATAATCAGATACTAAATTGTCAGTCTCATGAGTTAATAATTTTAATCTTATATTATAATCCGTCCGATCAAACAATTCCATAGAGCAAGCCTCCTGAAGATGTCATGTTGCAAGTTTGTAATTGACACACAATTGTTGTCATTTCTTTTTTTTTAAAGACAAATGTAATAAATTAAATAGGTTATAATTATCGAATCGACTTAATTTTATTTTTATTTTTTTGAATAAAATGTATAAAATGCCTAACAAAATAAGCATATTTGGATCTTCAAAATAATATCCGTGGTGGCCCAAACAATACCCTTCAATCTAAATTATTGATTTGGAAGAATGTTTGTTTTTTTTTTTTTTTTAATTGGTAAAAAATAGTGGGATCTATACTTTTAAGCAGTCCGAAGACACTATTTGGATATGGAATCCATTATTTTCAACCAATTAGAATATCTGTGCATTGTTCACGCACAATTCATGACCATGTGCTACAGTGATATGTTTTCCATCCCTCATAATAGAAGTTGCGAATTCGAATCCCTTTTGGGACGTTGTGGATGATCTCATTTTCTTTATCCCTTAAATTAGGCTAATGTAAGTTTAAAAATTAAAAAAAAAAAAAAAAAAACATTTTCGATGTTATCATATACTTGCTACAATTAATTATGTATAGAATCTCTATACATTGGGGTGCCTGCTGTGCAGCACAGCAGGTACTGTTGTGCTGCCTTATAGACTCATTTCGGGATTTAGTTTGATTATTCGAACCGTTCACCTTTTAGAGTATATCAAATATAATATACATATAAAAAATCAAGTTAATCGGATATCGTTAACCCTCTCATCTAATCACATTTGTATCTACAAAAATAAATGACATTGTGATTTAAAGTATTAAAATGAATACAAATGTGAGTAGATGAAAGGGTTAACGATATTCTATAAACTTGATTTTTTATAAGTATGTTTTACTTGAAATACTTTAAAATGTGATTGGTTCGGATCATCAAATCAAACCTCGAAATGAGCCCATATGGCAGCACAACACATAGTAGGCACCCCATATGTATGTTAACGATATCCGATAAACTTGATTTTTTATAAATATGTTTTACTTGATATACTCTAAAATATGAACGGTTCAGATCATTAAATCAGACCTCAAAATAAATTCATAAAACAGCACAATAGTGCTTGCTGTGCTGAGTAAACAGCCAGCACCCAGGAATTGGGATCCTCTCCTTGAATTCTCTCCTTGACTCCCTCCTTGCAGGGCCTTTGGGCCCACTTTTTGGCCTAATTTTGATAATCTGAACCGTTCATATTTTAAGATTTATTCAGTATATCATACCTGTAAAAAATCAAGTTGATCGGATATCAGAAAGTATGTATTTGGAAAACTATTTATTAAAAAATAGTTTGTAGTTCGATTTTTTTGAACACATACTTTCTGATATCCGATCAACTTGATTTTCTACAAGTATGGTATACTGAATAAATCTTAAAATATAAACGGTTCAGATTATTAAAATTGGATCTAAAAGTGAACCCGAAAACCCTAAAAAGGAGGGAATCAAGGAAAGGGAGAGGATCGTTGCTCAGCACCCAGATCCATTTGGGATATTCTTTAGAGCCGTTACGTTACAATCACAAACCCAACACCGTTTGAACTGTGTTATCTCCTTGAAGTTCCTTTCCCTTTAAAGCACGTACCCACAATAAAAGCATTAAAAATATAATGCACTTTTTCAAAAGATGGCCAAAGTAGGAGCTTCTCATTCACACACAATCAAACATTATAAAAGCCAAATCATCACAACCCAAAAGTGTGAACAAAAATATTTCATTTTCCCACCAATTAATTTCGTTTCCCTTCCCTTGAAATATCACCTCCACTCATGTCGGCCGGTAATTGGATAACAAAAATAAATGTATAGAGAGCAAAAAATAATGTAACGGTGATATTACATTATGATATATGTAGTATCATCACTTGTCAATAATAACTTATACATGCAATAGTAAATTCACTATTCTGATACAAATACATTTTCATAGTTAATTTTATAATTGTTACATATATTGAATGAATGATAATATCATATATCGACGATGGCTTCATATCACTATAGCATCAAATTTTTATTTTTAATTTATTTGTTTGGGGTTTTTTTAGATGGAATTTTCTAGGTTGGGTTTGACAATTTCTTAGTTGTTTTTTTTACTTCTTTGTTTTTGTTTTGGTTTTTGTTATTTATTTATTTATTTATTATTATTATATTATAAATGCTAAAAAAAAATAAGACAATCAAAATAACTTTTTCCTTTTTCCTTTTTTTCTTTTTTCTTCTTTCTTTATTGTTGGCCAAATAAGACAATCGAAATAACTGTTTTTTGGCATACAGTTCACACCAACCCATCCCATCAAACGTATGGATCTATTTCCTCTTTTGATTTGTCCATGCCTTTTATATATATTATGCACAGATACCTTCCCAAAAACAAATTTCAAGTTACAAGAGAGACGCAAAATGGAGTGCTGCAGAGCTCATCATATAATTGCTATAGTTTCACTTGTTCTGATCCTCTCTCCAGTTGTTGTTCATGGTTGGGGAATTGATGGCCATCTCACCATTTGCAGAATTGCCCAGGTCAGCTTCTCAACTCTATCTCTCTCTCCCTCTCTCCTTTGGTTTGACAATTACATATTTTAGTCAAAAAAATCACTTTAAAAAATCAAAAGCTAACAAATTTTCAAATTTTCAACTCAGAAAAAAAAAAAAAAAAGCTAAAAAATCTTGCCCTCACCTTGTTTGATTTAGATTGATTTTCTAAAAATTAAGTTTTTTGCTTTTCATATTTTATTTTAAATTTTTAGGAACTTTTTTTTATATTTTACATAATTTTTATTTGGGATGCTACTAAAATAGCATACTTTTTATCTTTTTATTTATTTTAGGTCACATCATTTCTCTATTTTTTTTGCATATTTTTTCTTAAAAAGTAAAAAAGTTATTAAAATAACTTATTCCTAAAAGTCTAAAAAGTATAATATTTATAATAAAAAAATTAAAAAATTCACTTAGTACAAAATTTCAATAAATTTTTGTATTTTTGTATATCTTTATTAATTTTTAAATATTTTACTAGGTCACATCATTTCTCTATTTTTTTACATATCTTTTCTTAAAAAGTAAAAAAATTATTAAAATAACTTATTCCTAAAAGTCTAAAAAGTATAATATTTATAATAAAAAAATTAAAAAAATCACTTAGTACAAAAATTCAATAAATTTTAGTATTTTTGTATATCTTTATTAATTTTTAAATATTTTACTTTTAGGTACATGCATCTAAAATTAAAAAAATTTACTTAAATTATTTTTAAAAAATCATTAAAAAAAAAAACTCAACTTTCAAAAAAAAACAATTAAAAACAAAAAAAAATGGTCGATTTTTTCATTTCAGATTTTAGTTAAAATTTGACTAAAAAATTTAGTCACTTTTCAAATGGGCTCTAAATTTGTGTGGTTGTTGCAGTCGCGGTTGAGTGAAAGTGCAGCAGCAGCGGTCAAGGTACTGCTTCCGGCGTCGGCCGGTGATGATTTAGGGAGTGAGTGTTCATGGGCAGACAGAGTCAAGTTCCATTATCACTGGTCATCATCTCTTCATTTCATTGATACCCCTGATAATCTCTGTGCCTACCAGTACACCAGTATGTATATGTACTCTACCCCCTCTCTCCTATATATGTCATAAAAAAACAATGACCATTTTTGAATCAGCACTAAACAATGTGACCAAACTCTGTCATATTTCCTTTCATATGACAAATGGTTTAGGCTACAAAAAGGGCAAATTAGTCCCCCTATTGTTTAAAATAGTTTTGAAATATTTTTCATTTTGACATGTGAAAAATGGGGTTGCTCCCTTGATAAAATTGGGATGGGGCTATCGGAGGGTATTGTTGGGCTCGTGAGACCTATCACGAGTCTCGTTTCGATAATCTGAACTGCTCAATGTGTAGAAATCGTCAAATATTATATATTTGTAACAAATCACGTTGATCGGATATTAATAGTTACGTGATTAATTCAATTTTGTATAAAAAAAATAGACGTTGAAAAAATAAATGATTGATAGAAATATGATTCGATGAGATAGCTATCGATATCCGATCAATATGATTGTTTACAAACATATAATACTCAACAAGTTCTACACATTGAACGGTTTGGATTATTAAAACGAGACATGTGATAGACCTTAACGTGTCTAACAATACCCTCCAATCTAATCACACAAGCCTAGCCCAATTGGGATATAGTTGAACCAAATATTCCCATTGAAAATAAATTCATGAGAAAGTGATTCTTCTTTACATTTATTCAAGCGTTTATAAATTGGTTGAGCAGTAAAAATAAGTGTACTAAGAGCATCTCCAATGCATTAGGCATATTATACTTGTTAGTTAAAATGCCTAATGTGATTCACTTTTTTCAATTCCAATGCACTAGGCCCAATTGGGATATAGTTGAACCAAATATTCCCATTGAAAATAAATTCATGAGAAAGTGATTCTTCTTTACATTTATTCAAGCGTTTATAAATTGGTTGAGCAGTAAAAATAAGTGTACTAAGTCAATGGCCCACAATGGTTTATTCCAATAGCCTAGCCAAAGGTTTATTCCACACAATGGCGCTGAGTTTTTTTTAAGTTAAAAGTTAATAATTAAAAGATAAAAGTTAAAAATATTCATATTTCAACTTTTAAATAATCATCTTTTTTAGCTTATTTAAGTTATTTTTACCTAACAAGCTATAAGCAAAAATTGTACAAAACAGTCTGGCACTGACTCTCAAATCAAAATAAGCTATAATCACTCCCAAAAAGCTGTAACAAACAGTCCCAATAAAAATTTTGTCAAGAAATTTGCCACCAAAGCACAAATTTGGTGGGGTCCACTTCACGTTTATAAACTAAAATAAAATAAAACTAAAATAAAATAAAAGAACATTGTGACAAGTTTCGCGACAACTTTTTTATTGTCACCACACTTTTTCCCTACTGATAATGATTCAATGTAGATCTTACTTTCATTATTCAATGTAGATCTTACTTCTTGAAACGAAACCAATTTTGCACCAACTTTATGGATGGAACCAACTAACAGAAAGCCTTAATGCTGGAAAGATCAATGTATTAATTGTAACAATGTAATTGTAATTCACTAGTTATTCCATATGCTTGCCAAATCTTTAAAAAGAGATTATAAATAAATAAAGAGATTATTTGTATTCCTCAAGAAACCCACCTGACAGTATACTAGATTTTTTTTTTTTTTTTTTGTATGCAATAAAGATACAATATCTGTATTTATATGAAAGATCATGTGAATTTAAAAATCCAAGGATTTTTAAGTTTTGATTGGATAAATGATAAATGATAAATAATAAATACCAAAATTTCGGTTAGTCATATTTCAAGAGATCTCACCATCTATGTAAATTGATCAATGCCATACGTTAGCAATTTCTCCTTCACTATTTTCTTAATGATAATTTCAGAATAAGGAACTAATCACGAGTTTGCAACAAGGCGGGGTGATACATAACAAGGCAGTGTACATTTCATTTTCACAACTCGATACTGTTTGGGAGTTTCCCTGTTTCTCAAAATGTAAAACTATAATCTCCAATTGATCTAACATCTAAATATTACTTCACAACATGCTCGACGATGATGAGATTATGTCAGTCTTAGTTGACAGTAAAGCTTCAGTTTTTAAAAATAAGTAGTTCACAATTTGTATTTGATGATGGTACAGGGGATTGCAAAGATGAATATGGAGTACAGGGCAGGTGTGTAGCAGGGGCAATTAACAATTACACTAGCCAGCTCCTCAGCTATGGCAATGCTGCCTCCCAATGTATAACTCTTAAAACCAAAACTCTTCTTTTTCTTATATATATGTACACATACACCCTATGATCTAATTAATAAACAACAAACTCTAACACTCTGTTTGGATGGAGTGATTTGTTAAGAAATGATAATGAGAAAGAAAACTCTTCTCTCATATTTGGTGAGTAAGAAATGGTGAGAAATGATGGGAAATGATAAGAAAGAGAACTCTCATACTAAGCGTATTTCATTTCACCACTTTTCGTGAGATTTGGTGAGAAACAATTTGATTGTTTGTAAAATATTTATAATACCAAAATTGATCATTAAAATACAAAGGAAGAAAAAGAAATCTCACTCATATTCATCGCTCACATGCTTTGCTTTCTTACTCATCCAAACATAATAATGAGAAAACATAATCATTTCTTTTCTTTTCTCACCCTACAATCCAAACGGAGTAGAAGATAATGAATTATCAGGATGACTGATGGTGGGGTGGGGGTGGTGGTGGTGGTGGAAGGGTGGATGTGGAGGTGGAGGTGATGACTGTGACAACTTTAATTTAAAAAACGTTTTTCACCTTTCAAAAGTGAAAGATATTTCCATCTCAAACAAACTTGTTTTCCTGACAATAGGAAACATTTTCTATTAACTTTCATTTTTCATTGTACCAAATGCCAAAAAATTATTTTAAAAAAAAAATTCTAAAAATATTTTCTATCCAAACAAACCGAGCATACAAACAGATTCATTTAGATAGGTTATTTAGTAGAATGGACCTTGATTGACTAAGTTGATTTTACTTGCATTTTAACTCTGTGAATATCAGATAATCTCACAGAAGCACTTCTCTTCCTTTCTCACTTCATAGGAGATATTCACCAGGTATGTTTCAAATCAAGAAATGTAAATTAATGGTTGGTTTATGTACAGACATGTACGAGAATGTATTGTCAAACATAATTCAGGTTTGATGTATTTTTGTCCATTCATATCACTGAATGTTGTTGTTTATGCAGCCACTACATGTCGGTTTTACTTCAGACAAGGGAGGCAACACAATTGATGTCCATTGGTATACAAGGAAAACAGTTCTCCATCATGTAAGTGTATATATATATATGCATATGAATCAGTAGCATATAGTTGTTTTAGAAAACATGTTGTGTTCTCATTTCAAAGCATACATACAGGTCTGGGATGACAGCATAATTATGACCTCAGAAGATAGATCATATAATTCTAATGTAGATGGACTGATTGATGCAATCAAAAAGAATATAACGGTATGTTCAACCTACAGCTATTCATTAACTTGAATCGAACTTAAGAATCTGCTAATTTGTTTGTGTTTTCGTTTTCTGTTTTCTGTTTTCTGTTTAATTTTTGTAACCTCTTGCCTGCATTTGTGATAATCTGCTATTTTTCCGTGACAGGGTGAATGGGCAGATCAAGTCCAGACATGGGAGGATTGCAGCGGGAACCAGACAGCATGCCCCGACATGTATGTTTATTGTGAATTAATAAAATTTTAATTTTGAGCATCTTCATAATTTCAGAAAATTGACCTCTAGTGGAAAAAATTCAAATGTTCAACAAACTTCTTTGGACCTTTTTGGCCATGAAAGTTAATGGCTAGTCTCACTGCTCCAAAGTGGAGGTGAGGTAACCTTGATGTCTCCAAAGATGTAGAAGATTAGTAGGAAAATAAGAGAGTTCTAGAAAAATTACAATAATGGACACATGAACGACACATGGGTATGTCTAGTACTATGATAGAGGACATATATACAGACTGAACATATTCTTTAATAGAAGACGGTTTGATTGTAGAGAAAAGTTGTCAAATTGTTCACTTTGTTGGTTTAGAAAAAGCTTGGTAAGGATTAAGAAAGGTCTGTAACATACTATCTTCAGAAAGAGAGAAGATGCTATTGGTGGATGTCCTTTAGTCAGTGTCGTGGTCCGACTCCTCTAAATCATTTTGTGACACATAACAACCATATCAAATTTGTAAACACACAATAGATCAGGAGCACACAAACATGAAAAAAGTCTGTAAACTAAGCCCGATTGCTCATTGCAGATATGCATCTGAAGGTATTAAAGCAGCCTGTGACTGGGCATACAAGGGTGTAAGCGAAAATTCAGTACTACAAGGCAAGTAACAAACGCTCTTTTTTCCGTATAGATTGATAGAAATGCAAGTTCATTCGTACCTTCAAACAGGATTAGTAATCTCAAAGTTGTTTTTGCAGATGACTACTTCCAGTCCCGTGTACCAATTGTCAATTGGCGGTTAGCTCAAGGAGGGGTTCGTTTGGCAGCCACTCTTAACCGTATATTTGGATGAGTACTGATTCACTTGTTGGTGTCATGGGAAAAACAGATCTTTCCTGAGACTGTAAACTTAGAACTATGTATTGATTGCTACTAGGCTGTCTATATTTCAACTTCTATAGTTGCATTTTAATGAAGTTTATGTTCCTGTAGCAACCCCAACTATGTATGAAATATATATACTATACTATTACATAATGTCAACACCTCATTGTGAACGAAGTTATGTAATGTTTTTTTCATCACTCATTTTTGTGGCATCGGGTGGTGAGAAAAGAAATAGAGACATGGGTAGTCATTATATGGATCAAAAAGTGAAGTCACTAAACCAATAGCTGTTATCCACCATACACAATTCTCTGTATTCACTCGCACCAATGATTTTCTGCACACATTATTGTGCATGTACTTCAAGTAGTATATAAAGCGTACACTCTATTTGATGTGAACGGTGTAACTTTTTTTTCTTCTTTTCCTTTCAAGAATGTCTTTTACATCCCAAATTGCTGAACCATCCTATTCATTCATCAAATTGTAGCTCAATCATCAAATCAAATCAAATCAAATAAAACTAAGCCTTAAGTCCTATCAAATGGGATTGGCTACATGAATCATTCTTCTCTACGCGGTCCTATTAAAGGTCATTTCGTTAGTCAAATTAAGTAGATCCATATCTCTATTTACAACGCTAACCAACGTTAATCTAGGCCTACCCCGTCTCCTAACACTTCTATCTACTGTTACAGCATCGCATCTCTTCACTACTGCCTCTGTTGGTCTCCGTTGAATATGGCCAAACTATTTCAATCGATTCCCTCTCAACTTATCTTCTATCGGTGATACTCCTACCCATTCCCGAATTACACTCATTCCTAATTCTGTCTTGTCTAGTCTTGCCACACATCCACCTTAATATTCTCATCTCAACCACACTTATCTTATCTACATGTTTTTTCTTGGTTACCCAACACTTCGTTCCATACAACATCGCTGGTCTAATAGTTGTTCTATAGAACTTACCTTTAAGTCTAGTGGGTATTCGTTTATCGCACAGTACCCCAGACGCACTTCTCCACTTACCCCATCCCGCCTTAATCGTATGGGCCATATCCGCATCAATCTCACCCGCTGTTGCGATAATCGACCCTAAATAACGAAAATGTTCACTCTTAGGTAGTTCTTGGTTCTTAATTTTTACTTTTCCTCTGCTTTCATTGTTACCGTTACTAAATTTACACTTCATGTACTCTGTCTTAGTTCTGCTTATCCAGAATCCTTTAGATTCAAGAGTTTTTCTCCAAATCTCCAACTTTGTATTAACTCTTTCTCTAATCTCATCCACTAGCACTATATCGTCTGCAAAAAGCATACACCATGGCACATCATCCTGAATATTTCTCGTCAACTCATCTATAACTAAACAAAAAGATAAGGATTTAAGGTAGATCCTTGATGTAACCCTACAGTGATAGGAAATTCATTTGTCTCTCCAACAGGCGATTTAATAGTGGTCACTACCCCTTCGTACATGTCCTTAATCACATTAATGTAACCTTTTGTCACCTCTTTCTTCACTAATACCTACCATATTATATCCCGAGACACTCTATCATATGCTTTCTCAAGGTCAATAAACATCATATGAATGTCTCTTTTCTTTTCTTTATACTTTTCTATTACTCTCATCAAAAGATAAGTCGCTTCCATTGTTGACCTGTTAGGCATAAACCCAAATTGATTCTCTGACACTTCTATTGTATCTCGCAATCAGCATTCTATCACCCTCTCCCACACTTTCATTATTTGACACATTAGCTTGATTCCTCTATAGTTGTTGCAACTCTGGACATCTCCTTTATTCTTATAGATTGGCACTAAAATACTCTCCCTCCACTCATCTAGCATGTTTCTAGTCAACAAAATTTTACTAAACAACCTAGTTAACCAAGCAACCCCCTTTTTACCCAAACACTTCCAAGCTTCAATAGAGATATTATCTGGTCCTAAAGCCTTATTTGATTTCATCTTCTTAAGTGCAATCTCCACTTCAAAGTTCCGAATCCTGCTATAGAACCCATAATCTTGGTTTATCGTATTACTGGCTATTTCTTCCCCTATTGTCGTACCTCCATGTTTTTCATTTAATAGTTTCTCAAAATAGTTCTTCCATCTTTCCTTAATCTCTTTATCCCTCACCAATACCGTAGAATCCTCACTCTTGATGCACTTGATTAAAATCTCTTGTTTTTCTCTCCTGTATCTTAACAAGTTTGTATACCCTCTTCTCTCCCTCCTTACTCTCTAATCTAGTGTATAGGTGATCATAAGCTTTCAACTTAGACTATCTCACTACTTTCTTGACCTCCTTATTAGCCAATCTATAGCTATTAAGGTTTTCCTCAGTTCTATCATTTTGCCACTTTTTAAAGTACTCTTTTTTTGGCTTAACTACTGCTTGAACCTCTTTCCTCCATTACCAAGTTTCCCTAGAGTTGGGTCATTTTCCTTTCGACACTCCAAGCACTTCCCTTGAGATTCTCCTCATACAATTGGCCATTGAGTTCCACATAGTATTAGCATCATCTTCCAAGTCCCAAGTACCTTCCTTATCCATTCTATTCTTAAATATTTCTAATTTATCCCTTTTTAAGTCCTACCATCTCGTCCTACGACGCCCACCATCCTTCCTAGCTTGGTATTGCTCTCTAAAACATAAATCTAGTACCAAAATCCTATGTAGAGAGGTCAAGCTCTCTCCAGGAATCACCTTACAATCATTGCATTTTAAGCAGTCCATTTTTCTCACTAAAAAGTAATCTATTTGACTCTTAACTAACCCACTCTTAAAGGTTATCAAATGTTTCTCCCTCTTCTTATACATAGTATTGGCCACCATCAGGTTAGAAGCCAACGCAAAATCTAAGATACTCTCTCCAGCATCATTTCTGCCACCAAAACCGTATTCACCATGCACCTTTTCATAGCCTAATTTATCTATATGTAATGACCCCGACCTCTGATTAACGTTAATTCGCACTTAATTATGTCTAACAGTAGATTAGGAGGAAGTTGGAATTAATTTGCATGTGTGTTGTTTGATTTTTGTGTTTATATCTGTTAGGCGTAGAAAGATCTGTTCATGTTTTCGTTTTGAATTACGAATTGAAAGCCATATTGGCGTTAGAATCAGAAATTGACTTGATTTATGTGCTAGTTAGGATTTATAAAATTTTATAGTAGGTTTAATTAAAATTCGGTTCGGAGCGATTAAATTAGATTAAATAATGCTAGATTAAACATAGATTAAGTAAATGCAAGTTAATTACATCATTGCCCTTGAGTGGGCCACTTTCTCATACATTGTTTAGAATTACTTCATACACCATTTTTCAGCCTTTTTCTTTGCCAAAACCGTGAGAAAGAAGGAGAGTGAGAGAAACTTGGTTTCATCAAGAATTTGGCTTGGAAATTTGAGGATTTGTAGAAGAACTACACAATGGAGCTAGCACACCTTGAACTCAAGACCTAAGGTAGAGATTTCATCCCCTTGAGCTTGAATGTGAATTGTTTCTTTCTTGGTTCATGGTTAATTAGTGTCTGACACTAGGAATTGGGTTAAAATGTTGAATTGATGATTAATTCATGCATGCATGCATGTTTCATAGTATTTTGAAGGATGAGTTTCAAGAATTTCCTCATGCATGTGTTAATTCCACTCACATTATGGTCATTCAACTTGTTTTCCATCAAATTATCAAGTTTGATTATGTTTTGGAGGGTTTGAATTCAAAGAGGTTCTTGCATGTTGAACTCATAGAATATTCATAAAGTTCATGTTGATTTTGCACAAATTGGGTTGCTCTTGGGCCATGATTTCTTGAAATGATTTTTAATACATGTTGTTTTATGAGCTATTTTATGTTTTCTCAAATATTGGCCCGGAAAAATGAGTTTTGATGGCTTAAAGATCGAGTTTCATGCTTGGAGGTCAATCTGGATTTTCCAGAAATTTGACACACGCTCAAACGGGTACTTTCATGCTCGAGCATGAATCCTGAGTACATGCACTTCCGCTCGAGCGTCGATAGTTACGCTCGAGCGTGAAATGCGTATACCCAGAAGTTTGTGTGTTTTGCAGTCCTCTCGAGCGGGGGAAGCCATGCTCGAGCGAGAGTCTGTGTCACACGCTCGAGCGGGGGTAAAGCGCCCGTTGAGCGTGAATTTCATGCATCCAGCAATTTTTCACAGAAAAATGAGTTTTGAAGGCTTAAAGGTCGAGTTTCATGCTTGGAGGTCAATCTGGATTTTCCAGAAATTTGACCCACGCTCGAGCGGGTACTTTCACGCTCGAGCATGAATCCTGAGTACATGCACTTCCGCTCGAGCGTCGATAGTTACGCTCGAGCGTGAAATGCGTATACCCAGAAGTTTGTGTGTTTTGCAGTCCTCTCGAGCGGGGGAAGCCACGCTCGAGCGAGAGTCTGTGTCACACGCTCGAGCGGGGGGTAAAGCGCCCGTCGAGCGTGAATTTCATGCATCCAGCAGTTTTTCACAAGTTTACAGTCCGCTCGAGCAGGGAAAGTCACGCTCGAGCGAAGCTTCATTGTCTGCATTCCCGCTCGAGTGGGGAAACCCACGCTCGAGCGTGGACCTTATCTTCAGCAAAATTTGAGTAATGGTTTTCAATGCATTTTTGCATCCTCTTTCCATCCTAGGCATTCCTAGGCCATGTTTAAGACCCCATAATGAGGATAAGAGATTAGAAACACACTAAGAGCCAACGAAATAAGTTTTGTACAATTAGAACGTGTGTTTCAAGTATATATCTGTTATGTGTTGTGTAGGTCACGTGCCACGTACCGTTTGACCAAGTTTACTCCGTCCATCTATCTCAAGGCCCACTGTGAGTAATAACTCTGTAAAGTAATGTTTAATTGGTATAGTATGATCTGCTTTCTGAAATGCTATCTTACGAATTATGAATGAATGTCCAATTTTTCTAAAAAGTATTTGTGGCGCCCTTAGTTCACGTGGCCCTCGCTCGGGGGTAACAATACCGCGGCCAATCTGCATGTGGCTCTTGCCTGGGGGTAACAATACCATGGCTACTTGCGCACAAGATATGAACCTTTGTGGTCGTTGGTACCAACTATGCATGTGGG